TTATTGACCGGGTTGGTGGGTGGCGGAGAATCGGGCGCTGTGCGCATGACTCTTTATTGCGGTGTGACGTGGATAGCTGTGCTCTTGCGTACGTTGTGCGGCGGGCTTTTCCTCTCCGCGTCTTTGCCCTGGTGTGTGTGGGAAGGTTGTGGGAGAGGATGTGTGCGGGGGAGTGAGCGTGGGTGGCTGCCAGCTCCGCCCCGCGCATTGGAGACTTCCATACAAGTGGATTTGCTTGACGGCGTTGCGCGGCACCCAGGGCGTGGCGAGGAGGAGGATGGGGAGGGTCTGTTGTGGGCAGAAGGTGGATGGACAGGACAGTCCCCTTCCGTGTCCTTCCCTGTGTCGTTGGCAGTACATACTGAGAGCATAAATTTGAGCGAGTACAGGAGGAAACGTTTCTGCCGCTTTGCGTGTGCTACTCATTCGTCGTCATTGCAGGCTGTCGTCACGGTGCGTTGTGGTGCGGTGCCGTTAGATGAGGGAAGGGTGCGATGCTACGGCTGCTGCGCACCACAACCGTTTATTGCCTCTGCACCGGCACTTTCTTTTTCAAATTGTGTTTTTTTCTTTGCTTTACGGTGAATTTGTTGGAGGAGGTTTGGCTTTGGTGCCTGCTTCACGGTGCTGTGCCTTATTTGTCGGTTGCGGTTCTTCCACGTGATGCTGAAGCGTTTGATGGGGTGTTTACCCTTCTTTTTGCGCCCTGCAGTCAGTCTTGTGTGGTTATGGCGGCAGCAGTGGGACTCTGTGGCTGCGTGCTCGTCGCACGTGTCGCATCTTCCGCTGTTGCTCCCTTGCTGTGTTGGTGGGGAGGAGGCAGGCGACTGCATTGGTGAAGTGGCGTCCCAGTGGGAGAAGGAAGGCACCGACCGCACGATTGACGTGGACCCTTGTCCCCCGTGTCTGAGTGTCGCCACCGCACTTCTTCATGCTTCCTTCTGTGTGTGCCGTGTGTGCTTATGGTGCCGCTGTTTGTTTTGCGATGCCGACCCACGTGAGGGAGGAACGCCGCCTTGACTGCTGGCGAACGGCGAGTCCCCCACTCCTCTCCCGTGTCACCATTACATCCTCGGAAGCGCTTGATGGTCGCCGGTTGTAACGCTGCCACGTGGGTCTGTCTCGGTCCTTGTGTGTCTTTCGCGGCATCAGGACTGCTCTGTGGTAGAAATGTTTGGTTGCACGAGCGGTTCCAATGGTCATGTTTGTCTTTTTGCCGGGATCCTGCCACTCTGCATGGTGGTTGTGTGGGGCTGCGTGGGCGGTGGGAGGACGATGGTGTTACTGGCGTGATTGTGTATGCGCTTCTTTTTGTCGGTGATTGTGCTTCGGTGGGGACTGTCTGTGAACGGATGCCTCTGTGTGCCACTGTGTTCATTTGCTGTTGTTTCTGTCTTTTTTTTCTCTGACCGAGCAGTTAGAGATACTTTGGCTTGGCCAGCACAACTATCGTTTCAAGGTGTTAGTGATTAATTGCAGTATTGGGACTAGTAGTGGTGGGATATCGATCTATCGGAATAGTGTCTCTTGATTTGCCATTTGTAGAAAGGGATCTGCGAAGCAGGAGCTACGGTCGACGGGGCGAGTGCAATACACCGCGACAGCTCTATCGTTATCTGTTTGGTTTGTGGATGTGGTCTGCGGTGGGTGCGTGTCCGCGCGGCCGGCACCGTGTGCGGCGCAGGGCCGCTGCGGCTGTGCGTGCGGCGCTGTTTTTGGTGTTGGCGCTGGTGGCGGTGGCTGTGTGGCTGCCTGCTGTGCATGCGGTGGTGTTGCGACTGCGGGGCGGCACGGTGGACAGAGCCATCACGGTTGGCCGTGCCGTGGACACGGTGCTGATGGACGGCGTGTCCATCACGAACGGCGTGGCTGTTGTGTTCGACGTGCCGGCGATGCTTCCCGGCGCGCTGCGCATCGAACTGAGGAACTGCGTGTGCGACGGCGGTGCGCAGATTTACGTGCGGGGCGACAGCGGTGAGCCGGCGAGTGACCGGAGCCTGGAGGTGAGTGTGAGCGGGCTGTCCGGGAGCTACTGCTCGCTCGTGTTTGTGCACAACCTGCCGGCACACACGAACGTGACGGTCCGTGACTCGACGATTGTGACGGCGGGGCCGATGCGCTACTCCCAGCTGAGCGGGCTGATGGACGCGGTGGCGTCGCCGTTTGTGCTGCAGGCGACGTCGCTTTTGCAGACGCAGCTGCGTGTGAGCAACACTGTGCTGAGGTCGTTGCAGGCGGGCGGGTCTGCGGTGCACGTTGGCGGCGGTGTGGACCTGCTGTCGAGCGCGGTTGTGCTTGACGGCGTGTTGCTGGAGGCGTCGGGTGGTCCGACCGCGTCCGCGATGCATGTGGCGTCCTCGTCGCGTCTCAGTCTGCGGAGCCACTCGGTGTTCTCCGTGACAAGTGTGTCTGTTGTGAGTAGCGGCGGTGGCATTGTGCTTGGAGAGCGCCTCGCGGTGTTCGACTCGGTGCTGCGCTTCGTGGGCGTCGAGGGGTCTGTTGCGTCGTCGCTGGTGCGCTGCGACGGTGGGACGGTCGGTGGCGGCGGGTGGCTGGACCTGCACGACGTGTGGGCGGTGGGCGAGGCGTCGTCGGTGGCGTCGCTGTCGGGTGTGACGCTGAGCGGCGGTGCCGTGTCGATTGCGCGCTGCGCTGCCACTGGCGCGACGCTTGTCTCCGGGCTGGCAATCACGAGCGGCGTCGTGTCGGTGCAGTGCAACCGTGCCGGCGGCCGGGTGCTGCGGAGCAGCGGCGACTACCGCATGGCCGGCCTGCCCTCCGTGAGCGTGGTGCCGTGCGACGGCTGTGCGGCTGCGTTGGCGTGCTTTGATGCGCTGACGGCGTCGTTCTCCGACTGCGTGTGCAGCTGCCGCGCCGGCGGCGTGGGCGAGGCGTGCCTGCCGTTCGACGTGCCGCCTGCGAGGTCCGGCGGTGGTGGCGGTGCGCCGGGCTGCGTGAGTGGCGTGACGCTGACGGAGTCGGTGACGGTTGGTGACTGGCGTGCGACGGCGTGCCTTGACTCGGTGGTGCTCAGCGGGCCGATCACTGTGGCGGTGGATCTCCGCTCGATGAACGTGTTCGCTGACGCGCTGAACGTGACGCTGCGCCACTGCGTGCTTGCGGGCGGCGCGCAGCTGCGGATTGGCGGCCTCAGCGAGAGCACGGCGCGCCTGATGCCCCACGCCCTCGTCAACATGACGAATGTGACGTCGCTTGAGGGCACGATCGTGCTGCATGGCGCGATGCCGCTGCACTCGAGTGTGCTGCTGGCGAACTCAACGCTGCGCGCGACGGTTTGCGGGTCGCAGTACGTGCCGACGACCCGTGGACACGAGAAATTTCGGTACGGCCCTGCGCTTGTCCTGGACGGCGTCCGGCTTCTGTCGACACGTTTTGTCATGACGCGGTCTACGCTGTTTTGTTACGGGGGCTCGTGCGCTGCGATCCTCGTGGAGCACGGCCTTTGCGCAAACCTGTCCAGTGTCTTCTACATGGACAACTGCGCTGTCGTGTCGCGGGCGCACGTAATGTACGCTCTTGCGTCGTACCTGCGTGTCAGCGGCGACTCCGTGTTCTCCATACAGAACGGCTCGTGGAGTGCGCCGAGCATCGAATACTACGAAAGTGCGTGTGTGTTTGAGGACGTTGTGGTGGATGGCGGCAGCGTGCTGCAGATTGTGTCCAGCACTTTCCGTCTCGGCTTCGCCATGCTCATGGCAAGCACGCTGACCGTGACAGGCGGCAGCTGGCTGGTGCACCGCGACAACGGGTTCTGCACCACCTACGTTGTGTACGTGGACAAGGAGAACGGCGTGGCGTTCCGCGATCAGAGTGTTTGGTCGATAATTGACAACAACTTCACTTACGGCTCGTTCTTGTCCTTTGCATGTATGACAAACAAGTGGTCGCCACCATCCGACTCGAGTCCGACCATCTACGGCATGTGCAACGAGATAAGGGGCTCTCCTGTGACGAATTACAGAGAAGACCTCAATATTGGGGCGCCCGTGACGGTGTTGGACTGTGGTGCGTGCACGATGGAGGCCGTGTGCTTTGCAGCGAGGACGAGCAGCATCAGCGGCTGTGAGTGTGTGTGCGCTGCTGGCGGCCACGGTGACACGTGTCTGCCGGCTGCGGTTCCGGACGGCCTTGGACCGCTTCCGCTCCCCGATGCGGATGACACGGAGGTTCGCTGCGTGCACGGTGGCAGCATCAGCTCCGTGGAAGTCCCGGCCCCCGGTGTGCGTGGTCTGTGCTTTGTCAACGTGACCTTCACCGCCGCGATCGTGCTGGACCTGTGGAGCTTTGACGCGCCAGAGCAGACACTCAACATCACGCTGCTGCAGTGCGTCCTCATGGGCCTGTCGGTCAGGGGGAGTGGTGCGCGCGTGCACGTGAACGTAACATCCTCGATGCTGGCTTCTGGTGCATTGGTGTTTGAGGGCCATTTTTGCACGAGCTCCCAGATACTGGTGGCAGGCAGTACGCTTGTGACGACGTCGACCCACGCCATTGCCTTTCTGGATTTTGATCCCGGGAAAAATTTGACGCTGCTGTTACTTGACAGCTACATCGAGGGGAATAGTTACGCCGTTTATTTCTCCGATGCTGTTGTTGTTGATGGTGGCGGGATCATTGTGAAGGGAAATACGCTGAGTACGATGGAGAATAAAGGTATGGAATCATCTGTTTATGCTTATGCTATTGAAGTGAACAATGGCGGCTACATTGACGTGGAGAACAACACGATGAGCGCGGCTAATGGCTTGTATCTCAACGGGGACACCACCGTGAGCTCCGCGGGGCTGCTGCGAGTGGCGGACTGCTACTTTGTTGGCAGAAAGAGGCTTTTAAATTCCGCGCTGTTGTACTTGGACGGCTTGGTGACACTCGAGGATGGTGCGCAGTGGCGTGTGGAGGG